TGAAAATATAGTGAAATTTTATTGGCACTAAAATGATAGTGAAATTTCATTGTTAGATGATAGCAAACTCGATAAATCTTTCAATCTAATTATTTGAAGCACTTATTTGAATGGATTATTGGTACATTTGATCAGATGTATCTACTTTTTTATCATTGATCTTCATTTTTTTAATTTCTAGGCATAAATTGAAAATAGTAAAATTTCAGTTAATTAGAAATTTTTCATTAGCTTTACTCAGTGAAAATTTCGTTAATTTTTTTCCCGAAGTTCATATTGATTATAGATTTTATTTGATAAATCTCATCAAGAGGATTTCAAAAATATATTTTACGAAAAATGAAAATCTAAATCAGAAGTAATTAAATTTTTAAGTTTTGAAAAACTCAACCAAATAGACCTAGTGTTTACCGGTAAGGGTATCCCCTCCCCCCCTTCAAAAAAAAAAGTGTACTATGTCATGGACTTGATTTATGAAGTTTTGTTTTATATCCTTATACTATTAAAGAATTTTAATAAGGGAGTAGAATAAAAATAAAAAATAAAAAAAAAATTAAGATCAAGGTATAAGTTGAGAAATAATTATAAATTAATGATAAATTTTATTAATATTAATAATTAAAATTATAAAAGTTTCCATCCAAAAAAAATAAAAAAATGTACTATTCCCCAAGAAGTAATTTCCCCAATAAAAAATCCACTTCTTATATATATATATATATATAAGAAATACTTATTAGATCATATTTAACTCTTACTTAGATATTTCATCAGATTTGAATTTGATTAAAAAAATGTCTACTTTTTGAGCTCCAACCGTGCCACCAAACTCTTGTAAAATGAAGATAAAACCAAAAGCTTCATCAAATCAAGGGAACGTTTAACTTTTCTTCAAATTTCACAGGTGACCATTGGTGGACGACCGGATTGGGGAAGATTTGATGAAAATTTACTCTAGTCTGGCTGGACAACCAACAAGGTTTGATGAAACGATTAGAGTGTAATAGCCCGACTCTTTCATATACTGCCTATGTTCTAATTCCCTCAATATCTGTGTTATTATATATGTGATTATATGCATTATGTGAAATTCCATGTTTAAATGTGTGAATTATGTGCTTATGAGATTGCACCTGTCGGTTATAAGAAAATATGTTGAAATTGTGATCTTCTGACTGCAAATTAAAAGCCTTAGAGACGTGATAACCAGGAATTGACTTTACAGTTATGATTCTTATGATTTTTAGGACATAATGTGGGGTTTTATAAAAATTTGATTCGTAATGAATTAATTACCTTTATTTGGCTAAAACTCCAAGAGCTAACACTTTGAAACTAAAATTGACGACTTTAATGAGTTCAGGAACTGAAATTGAGTACATGGATATGCTAATGGGAATTTTTAGAGCCATTTGGGCAGTTTAATTGAAAATTAATTTTGTCTGCTTCATTAAGTGATGTTTGGTTGGCCTATTTATATTTATTTCATTTGTTATATACATAAGTGAGCTCATCTTTGGTCTTGGAAGAGGAAAAGAAAATGTGGAGAGAAAAGAGAGGGAAGAAGAGAAAAGGGAGAAGAAGAAAAGAGCCAATATAGGAGCTTGAAGCTTGGGAATTTAAGGGGGAAATCAAGAATATAGCTCAACGTAAGTACAAATCCACTAGAATCCTCTTAATCTTTCTTCAATTGCTTGGAATCAAGCCCTATGATGAAGCTTTTACCCTTAAACAAGTTAGGGTTTATGGATTAAGATTTTGATTGAGCACCTCTCGTGAAATTATCATAGATTCCTTACATTTCTTGGAGTTAAGAGTTGATTCCTTTATTGTTAGTTTGATTTGGGTTAGATTGTGAGAAATTGTGATATAATCTTGAGTCTTTGCATGTTTAAACTCATGTAAGTATATATATATATATATATCTATGTATCTAACATGGAAAGATGGAATATATGAAGGAATCATGGAAATCAAGTTCAATATGTCAAATTAAAAGAAGTTTTGATCTACTTTAGCTTGGATTTTATTCGTATTATGATCGCATGTCATGTTTTTAAAGAGAGATTGCTTGAATTAGAGCCTTAGCCTGCCTTTGCAAAGGTTGATTTTGATGAAGTTTCGGGCTGCTCAAATAGCACGTGCGGGGCCCATGGCCGCACGTGTGGGGCTCACAGCCGCACGTGCGGAAAACAGGAGAGACAAACTAGAGCTTATTGTAATAAAAGCACGTACGGGCCGCACGTGTGGCGCACCTTCCCGCACGTGCGGTGGGAGACTTCCGTACATATGGCCCATGGGGGAAATTTTTGTTAACTTTCTTGCCTCTGTTTGACCATCTAAAATTATTAATATATATGTACATTTGATCCTTCTGAAATACTTATAATTTAAACAGGAATTAACGAGTTGGACATTGAATAGAAAGAGAAAGCTAAAGGAAAGTGACTTACTTGTGAGTGTATGCTATGGGTAGGTTACGTACAAGAAGGGACTGTTGCTCATCCATATCACTGTGAGTAATAATAGGGTAACGATATGTTTATTTCCATATTTTTGTTTATGAATTATGTATCTTGACCGTGAATGGCATATTTGAGATTAATGGTGCTTTGATTCACGTATTTTGATTATGAATAACGCACGTTTGATTATAGATGGATACGTTAGTTGAACTATAAATTGATGGAACGATTGAGCAATGGTGCAAATATGGGCAATGGCAAATGAAATAGACCTGAGGTCGTTCTGTTTCCGTTATATATGATGGCCTTAAGGCCGAAGAAGGTGGAGACATGCCGATGTTCCATTTACCCTACCATGGAATAAAGTGTTATAATTAATGGCTCTAAGGCCAAGGGAGATGGAGACATGTCGATGTTTTATCTACCCTATGAAGTCCAGAACAGCTGTTGATATGATGGCCCCGAGGCCGTTATGTATTATGTTGGGCCCGAGGCCGTTATGTATTATGTTGGGCCCAAGGCCGTTGTGCATCACATTGGGCCTAAGGTCGTTCCGTCTTACATTGGGCCCTAGGCCGTTCCGTCTTATGTGGGCCCGTGGCTGTTTTGGAATACGATTATGGGAACATGTCCACGTTAGATAAATATTCTCCAAGACATATGCTCATTCACACGAACCTCCTTACATTATTATTATTCACTGAGCCTTGCTCACTCTGTTTTTATATATGTTTATGTAGGTGATCAACTTGGAGGCCAGCCCCAGGTCAGCTTCAGGAACCTTTGACGGACCGGTTTTCTTAAGCCTCCAAATTGGAGCCTTTTGTTTTTTGGAGCCTTTTTGTCTTTTGGAATTGTCTCCACATTTGTTAAGTCTCTTAAAGCTTGTTGGCTAGACATTTACGGATATGTAATTTTTTTTTTTTGGTTACTAGTACGCATGATTTATACTTGTATCTATAAATTGTGTATATGACCCATCTAAATATGTTGTTAATGATCCTAGCATGTATGCACAAGCTCAAAGGACATCTTTATTATTCTTATTTTTGGGGTCTGCTTCCACTTAAGACCCCGTATTTGATTAGATATTTTTTTGAAATTTTGTTTCTAAGGCCTAAGTGCGGGCCGATCATGGCCTAAACTTTTAGGGGTGGGTTTGAGTTGTGACATAGAGCGTATCATATCAGATTAAACTTTTGTTCAAATTTGATAAAGCATTAGAACTGTTCTAACAAGGCATTTAGAAAATGCGGGAAAAAATACTAAAAAGTGCCCTTGAAGTACTATTGAATGTTAAAATTAAATTAGAAAGTAACTTGAGATTTTTGAAAATATTAAAAATATATATTTGTTTTAATAAAAATTATATTAAATTAAAAAGTATCTCGTTTTTAAAAATATCTTCTTAGGCCTTATCAACATTTTTTAGTAAAAGCTGTCATATCACAAGAATATCATAAAACTGCCCCTAACAAACCATTTCAAAATTTTTGGTAATATTATTCATTTACCCCTTTAGTATACAATTTGTGAAGGGGTGGCCCCTGAAAAAAATATAATTAGAAATAAAAAAAAGAAATAAATTATGCACTTTTGTCGTTTTTGTTTCTTTCTTTATAAGCTAAGAATGGAAAAAGTAAGCGGAACCCACAATGTCTGAGTTTGAGTCCCTAAGATTGAGAATCGGTCTTGCATGACCTCCGTTGCAACACTACCTAAATCGTATCATATGCGCCTATCAAAAACAAAAATGATGCTTTTTATATGCCATGCAAATTTTTGTAGTGAGAAGCTGGTACTACTCCAACATATTACATTTGATGCTACATTGAGGAAACAATTCTCATTTGCAAATTAATATTTCAAAATTTTTAAAAATTCTATATAAAATATATAGTGCTTGTGTTTTTTTAAATAACCAAAATTGTAAAAAAAAAATTAAAAGAGTGAAAATTATCATAAAACTAATAAAAATATCTTGAAATTTAAACTTATTTTGTTTTGTTTCACCACAAGAATTAACACTTTTGCCGACCAAAAAATTGGTCGCTAAAAGCCCATTTTTGGTCGGTAAAAGTTATCCGCGACCAATTTTTTTGGTCGCTACTTTGGTCGCCAATTGAGGGTCGGCAAAAGTAATTCGCGACCAAAATTTTCGTTGGTCGGGAAAAGTCGAATTTGCCGACCAAATTTTTGGTCGCAAAATATATCATGACCGCGACTAATTCATTTAGTCGTGAAAACACTTTGGTCGCGAAAAGTGATATTTTCCCGACCAAATATCTTAGTCGCCAATTGACACATTTCGCGACCAAAAAATTTGGTCGCCAATTATCACATTCAACGACCAAAAATTTTGGTCGCCAATCGCGACATTCCGCGACCAAAAAATTTTGGTCGCCAATCGTGACATTCCGCGACTAAAAAATTTTGGTCGCCATTTGTTACTTTTCACGACCAAAACTTTTGGTCGGCAAAAGTGAGATTCCACAACCAAGTACTATTTTGGTCGGCAATACATGTATTTTTTGCGACCAAAACTCTTGGTCGGCAATTGTCATGTTTTGCGAAAAAAAATTACTGATTCAATACAGTGGTAAACCCAACAACTACTGAGAAAAATTTTAACTACAGGAGAAAAATTGGTCACTTCATTCAGCAAAAGGATTTCTTTTTATAGATATACAGAGGGGATTTTCATGGATTTTGATGTAGAGCTGCATATGTTGCAAAACATCTGTTGTGTAATTGCAGTTTACATTCCTAAAACAATATAGCTGAATCTACATGCCACAAGGACAACCGCTTTTAACCATTTAAAGACTATGACCCTTCTATCAAAATTTCACTGGTACAACATTATCCTCAATTTACAGGGAAGAAAAGTATGCATTACCTGTGTGTTGTTTTTAACACTCATCATCAGAACAGAAAGATGCCCAATGCTGAATTCCTCTTCCTCATTCTTGACCTGTCACAGACAGTTTCAAACAAATTTTATATCATAAAAGGAGCATAGAGGCAGAAACTACAGCAAATAAAAAATGTAAACAATAAATTAAAAAGTCTATTTAGCAGGAAGATGAAAAATGATGGGTAGGTCAAATTATACATATATATATAGCCCTCCACGTGCAAAAATATATTACAGTAATTAAAACAAAATGCTTCCTGCAAATAAAAAATTTAATTAGAAAACACATTCAATACACACTTCACAACTTACATTGGTCCCTCCCAAGGTGTTTGGGGCGTTCCCCGAGCCGTCTAATATATTTAGGGTTATAAAAATTACCTAATAGACTGAGCATAGATTTTCTAATTAGAACTCAGAAGCTCTCTCTTTAAATCCATGTATTGTCCGGCACTGTGATTGGCCTTTGTGTGAGATGCCAAACCATTTTCCAAGTTAAATGACCTGCAAAAAAATTTTGAGCAGGGAAAATTGAGATACTATAGCAGTATTAGTTATTGTTTTTTCTTTCTTTTACTTCAATGCATAAGAGATAACCCTCTAGGACTAAACACAAAAGATAAAGTATAACAAACATGTAGACCATAAAAACTGAAATGGTCCCAAAACTTCGACTAAAAAGTAAAACATATAGGTGACACAAAATCAAAAACTATTGCAAACAAAAAAATATAAGATAAATTTATTATTAAAAATTAAATTTAAAAAAAAAAGAAAGAAAGAATATACATTTGTACTTAGTTTAAACAAATCACAAGTGAACAAATCTAAATACTTGCAGCCTAGCACATAGGCTTTTAACATGGAGATCATTAACACAAGCATCACCATCATCATCATCCAATCCAAGACAATATTTGATGATTCTTTGAACTGGCAATCCTTTGGAACCAATTATGGCATTCCACAGGCAGGACAACAGTGTATCCTTACTATCAAGATGAAAAAAAGTGCCCAATCTCATCTTTTTTTTTCCTTTTTTTTCTTTTAAATGTTACAATTGTCCTTTTTATTCCTTTTTTATCTGTTATTCCACAGGGAGGACAACATTGATATTTTTTTTTATAGATATATCTAGAAATAGCAACAAAAAAGATGATAAGACCTAAAAAAAAAAAAGTAGAAAAACTAACCTCTAAACGATTGTTCAAATTGTGTAATTGTCAATTACTACCGATCTCAAATAACAAAATGAAGACTGAATTATGATACAATATGACAGAAAACACCTTTAATCAAAGGACTTAGGCTGATTCAGAATGAATTTATACAGAGAAAACTTGAGAAACCAGCACTGTCTTCGATTTGAATTTGAAACTAATACACAAGGCAAGTTATAAACTTGTTGAAAAAACTAATACCTATTACAGTAGCATGATAGAATTTTTTTCATGAGTTGCCACTGAGCATAAAAATTCACGTTAACAAATCAGACTCAGCGGACATTCATAGCTTAGCAAAGGATAGGTGTAGCCATGGGATGGCCATCAACTTCCAACATATTACAAGATCAGAATTTAAATCTTTATTCAGGTAAACAAAACATATTTTCTTCTCTTAAGAAAAATGTTAGAAATAATGATACAGAACCTCGCCTGAAGTAGCATCCCAAAGATTAATAGGATGATCACGAGTGGTACTTGCAAACACACATGTAACTGGATCTGAAATCTTAACCATTATAGCAGTTAAACTTTCATTATAGTATCATTACTTACTGTAAATCCATCTCACATTAATGGACTACAGAGTACTTTTTTATAGAACTCCCTTAACAAGAAAGGTAAGAGATGAACCCGACGCAGACATATATGGGTACCAGCAGAAATCATAAATAGGGTCCCCCTTATTCACAACAAGATTTGCAATATAAGAATCTGCAACTGTTTTAAAACCATAGGAGAAGTATAATGAAAAAATAAACCTGCCTAAATTTAGCTTAGTAATAAAGCAACATCATGAAAAACAATGACAACAGTGAGAAAAATGCTGTAGTACCAAAACCATTAAGAAGGGCATTTGGTATCAATTGATTGACAAAAGTTTTCACTCTAAAATCAAGAATAGACTTAAACAAGCTTACCTACATCAGCAACAAAAGAACAAGAATTTTCATGATAGACACTTCCAGCATCTGGTCTAAAGAGGAAGAAATAATAAAGTCATAAGATATATTGCATGCCATAAATCAATTAAAATACCAAGTTGCAACAGAAGTCCAAGAAGCACCATTCTTAACTGTCAGATTAGAGTGATCTTATCACATTATTCAACTGCCTGCATCATTACCAAAGCCATGGCACAAACTCTACTTGAATTAACTCAACAAACATTGTCCCAACTATGACCAAAGCATGCAAATCAAATTATCTCTAAACTTGAAATTCAAGATTACAAATGAAATGCATCAGTACAGTTTATAAAGCTAACCTTCAAAAGGGAACCTATCAACCGAATCGACTCACCTAAACTCAAATTTTCACATTTTTTCACCAAGAATATATATATATATATATATTGAGATGACAAAACCCTGCTATTTGGATCTCCACTAAAAACTTTTAGCTTGCCTCATTTTTGCAAGGTTTAAAACCCATTACTGATATTGAAAAATTTATCCAATTCCAATACCAATAGCCATTGACTCGATTCTCGATGTTATCTTTATTCAATGAATTTAGATTACTCCTGATTTTATAAACTTCAGACCAATTTGAGGTGAAATTTAAAAAAATAAAACAAAGGACAGGCCTAAGGCTAAGGAATGGTGTACACACATTCTTTAGTAATGAAGTCATTTTTGGGTTTGGAACCGAAAGCAACTAAGAATATGAATATAAATGACCAATGATAACAAACTAGAGTTTAGTTTCTCACTTAATGGCAAGAGTTCAAGTTCTTTATCACCTAGCAACAACAAATGATAATACGCTTTTGAGCCTTTTGACAATTTCTTGAATAATACGCTTGAAAGATCCACCTCTTAGTAAAGCAAATAAAGCTAAAATTAAGCTTGTACAAGTTCACATGTTACAAATTTGAGAACTATTCTAGAAACTATTTTCAAAATAAATTTTGGTCCTCCTCTTCTTCTCCATTTCTGTCATGAATTTATTTTCACAAGCTGGAATCAATTTTTCGATTTTCTGGAAATTATTACCATAAATCTTTGCAGCTAAACTTTGAGATGGCAAACAATTCCATACATAGAGAAACCATATATACTCACACCGACACACACAAAGGGTGGAGCCACATACCCCATTAAAACTTATTGAAGCTAATGGGTTCAAACTTCTTATACATATTAAAATGTAACACAATAGTTTCACAAAACATCAATCAAAATTTACAGAAAATTCAGAATATGTTTATTTTTATTATTTTTAAAATTTTTTATGTCCCTAAAATAACCCAAAATCTATCCATAGTTATCAAAATACACATAATTCATATATAGGTTTAGATACGCCTAAAAATTATGAATGTAGAAACAAATTAAACATCTTGTGCTTTATTTATCTCACTCTGTTTTTAGTGCTTATGAGGCCAATTGACCTTCAAACTTTACCAGCAGCAAAGGGAATGCATATCATGAAGAAACAAGTACAACTTAGAGGGAAAATCACCTGGTTCCCGTAGACTCTGGAAATCTGTTCCAAGATGCTTTGTGTGAGAGTATTTAGTATACATATATCATTCTTTGAATGAATCTACCAGATCAAGGAGAGGTTGAGAAACAGAGTCTTCATTTGACTGGCAAAGCAGTGGACATGGAAAAAGTAATGCAACTGTAAGAGAGTGAGAGAGAGTGTGTGTAGTCACAACATCAAACCCACAAAAAACCCAATGAACCCATAAAATTAAAATCCATAATTTCAATTCAAACACAATAAACCCATAATTTCACAAAACTAAAATCAAACCCACAAAACTAAAATCAAACCCATTTTGGACATCAAGATTTAATTAATTTCGTACAAATCAAACACTTCAACCAAACCCATTTACGAAATCAACACAAGAATAAACCCTAGATGAAGTGTGAGAGATAGGGAAATATGGGAAGGGAGAGAGAGAGAGAGAGATGACCCGAGAGGGAGAAGATCCAGATTGACAGAGAAGGAGAGAGAGTGATCGAGGTATACAGAGTGAGAAATAGAGAGAAATACAGACCTCGAGTGAGAGAGAGAGAGAGAGAGACCGAGAGTGAGAGAGTACCTGTGAGGATGTGACGGTGGCGGCGGCAAGCGACGGTTGCGATGGCGAGCAGCGTTACGGTCTGCACTGCGCTGAGGTGAGGTGAGGTGAGGTGAGGTAGGGTGAGGTAGGGTGGTCGTATATGTGAGAAGAAGAATCGATTGTTGTATCTGCTTCTACAGGCGCCAATATATTTTTATTTCCCTTTAAAATATTTAGTAACTAAATTATTTATTGGTGACAACATTATTTTTTCACTAAAGATAAAAATATTGGCCACAAATATAGTTTTGTCACTAAATGATATTAAAATATTAAAAATTATTGGTGATAAAAATATATTTGTCATTAATAATTTTATAATTGGTGACCAATTTTTTCCTCACCAAAAATCTCAAAATTTTGGTACCCTCCGAAAAAATTAACGGGAAAATCTTTGGTGACAAAAAAATATAAATAATCATGAAAATTAATTTCGTAACCTAATTTTTTTATTATGTATTTAGATAGGTGACAAAATTTTATTTTTGTCTCTAAAAATGGTACATTTGGAGACGAAATATTATTTTTGTCATTAAAAGATACGTATTTCGTGACAAAATTTATTTTCGTCATTAGTTTTCGTCTCTAAAGACTATTTTTGTTGTAGTGAATGGTGGTAGTAGAATGGCGTTTGCAGTAGTAGTGAAGGTGGTAAAGGAGATGGGTGGTGAAAGAGAGAGAGATGAGTGAGAGACAGATAGAGAAGAGAAAGAGAGAGAGAGAGAGACAAAGACAGAGTGATGAACGAGAGAGAGACAAAGTGGTCGCTAAAAGTGCATTTTCTTGTAGTGGATAGATAAATCGAGAGGGAGCTCAGTAAATAGAGAAGACGGAATGGAAAGAGTGAGCAACGCGAACATAGTAGGGGAGAAAGAGAGAGAGAGAGAGAGAGAGAGAGAGAGAGTTGGGATTGAGAGTGGGAGTGAACGATTTCGACTCAGAAGATCACCGAAACAGCGATTTACTCTGGCGCCCACGCTCTGCCAGATCGATGAAGCGTTTGAATAGAGTGGATCCGAATGGGGAATTTTCTCGCGAAACAAACACTAATTGGTTTTGCGTGTTGAACTGCTTCAGTTACAGCATTTCTCTCTCTCCCCGGGGGTTGGGAAATGGTGATGTTATTACTCCATCTGTTCCGGCGGATTGTGTTTCGATGTGAACCTTAATCCAGTTTGTGTTTCGATTGTCGTTCTTCAGATGTGAACCTTAATCCAGTTTGTGTTTCAATGTGAACCTCACCGAGCGAACCCCACAGTGCACAACCGGAACTGTGGAACCAGGACTGAGATTGATATTGAGAACCAGAACTGTGAATCGCTGAGATTGAGAACCAGAATAGGTGAGCTTGAGAACGAGAATCGGTGGAATCGGTGAGGTTCACGTCGAAACGTCACAAATGGCAATTGGAAAACAAAGGCTCAAACTGATGTAAAGCTGAAACGTGACACAATCCACGTCATGGAAAAAATAAAATAAAAAAAGTGTCAAATTCACGTCACAACCCACGTCAAAAAAAAAAAAAAAAGTGTCAAATTACTTGTGTTCACA